CTATTAGTGCTTTTGCAGATATTCAGGTTCTTAATGCTCTAATATCCTGCTAGCAGCCACCATGGAGATTTTTTGGTTAGTGGACACATTGCCTTTATTGGTGGAAATTTCTACTGAATCCTTGTGACATACAAGGGTCATCCAAACTCAAGCACTCTATGAAGAAACAAAGAGTCTTTTGTGATGGATCTACATCTATTTGTTTATTACATTCAAGATTCCTTGTTGGAGCAAAGGTCTTTCGAAGAGAGGGGAGAGTGATGTGGGGCCATCTAGCATAGTTTTTACTAATACAGGACTACTAACATAACTATTACATCTATTATATTTTAGCTACTTTTACATTTTCTTGAGGTGTCAATGCTTAGTTAATTAGAAGTCTTATTTTGTCATTGTTTTCCTATTAAAGAATCTAATCATATTACGTTTATGTAAAAACCCCATAGTACATAAACTGCTTAATAATATGAATAAAACTATTGATTTTTTCTCATTGATTTGAGTGCTTAACAACCCTGCAATTGTGTGGTTACTGCCAATTCCTGTGATTGCAAGTTGGATTCATCTTTTGTTTTCTTTAATTTTTCTATCTAAATCATAATCTGCTATGCTAAATCATGGCTCATACTGGGCAAACGAAAAAATCATCATGCATTTGAATATGAAGTTACAGCTCTCCTAAAAGAGATAAATATTGACAAGACTAGCTCCTCTCTTTCTATGATATATACATATATATTACGTGTATGTATTTGCATAACTGAAATGTCTAATTATGAGTTGAACATACAAGAATAATGAAGTCATTACTCTGCCTATTTTCACTTTCAATTTCCCTGTCCAAATTGTCTCCATGATTTGCACTGCAGGAATACATAATAATTTAACTGTATAGAAGCTCTAAATAAGATATGCAATTTAAAAAGATAAAGGGAGAGAATCAAAGACACCTTTTTCCGATCACAAATCTCACAATGATTCTCTTTTCCTCCTCCAGTTTTTTTGAGGCAACACCTGCACAATTGCACTTCTGGGTCAATAACCCCCTCAAGAAACAAATTTACCAGAGGCAGCAAGAGATACTTGTAAGATCTACTGTTGTTTCTGTAAACAATCACAACAACAAAAAATGACATATTGCTCTCATAGATGTTCTCAGGTTTACATAACCTTCATGTTTATCAAAAGGGAGCTTATTTTCGGTCTGAAGGTAGATGGAAGAGCGGTCTATACACCAAGGAACTAAGATTTATTTGGAAAGATTAAAAAGGATATACTTCAGTGAAAGATACAGCCCATAATCGTCAAATATCCTTATACATTCACATGAATAACTTTCATTCGCAGGTGTATGAGATGCGAAGCATACAAGCTATTAACTGAAATGTGGCAGGGTAGTAGGAGCCCATGTAAGTTTTCCTATCCTCTGAGTATATTCAAAATGTAACTGATATGGCAACCCCAAGCTACATGCATATAGATATTCACTTACTCTAATCATATCTAGGGACATAAATTAGTAAAAAGATATGTTGGAAACTACACAAGCTAATGGAAACAGTTGCAATCTTCTATTCTGAAGCTGTTAGACTTCAGCTGCTGTTTGACACTAAAACATGTCGAGTATTGTGCACAGGAGATGTCAATTTGCTCCACAAAATATATTCGCATTACCTTCAGCAACAGCTCAGTTGGTTGACTTTGTTGAAGTTGGAACTTTAAACCCCCAAATTTTTTCTTTCTTTTCTTTTCTCCTGGGCATAATTGTGAGTAGATTCTGTTGCAATAAATGAACCATCTGAATCAAGTTCCTCAGTTATATCTAAATATTGGCTCAGCCTAGTCACATGTATTGTCAGTTTCCATATTTTTAATGTCATCAAGCATACTGAAAGTCTGAAGCATATCTTGACTCTCCCATTCCAGCTATTCTTATGAGCTACCTTCTCCGTACAGGAGCCTCCTAGTACACACTACAGCTAAACAAACAAAATCAATTACTGCCGAGCCTCTGAGTCAAACTGAACCATGATTCTTAATCTAGTGTGATTGTGATATTTCCAGTCCACAGGTACAAACTTAAGGTTATTCGCATGCAACTATTCTTAACACAGAATTTTACAGCATCCTTCCACATTTTCATTTTAAAATTTTCTGTTATCCTCCTTCATGCATGCATTCATACATGGCTAAACCAAGCTGAGTATAAAAATTAGCAAAAACATAAATATGAGGGTTCTTAGGTACTAATACCATGTAATTATCCAAGTCAAGTCTTCAATTAAAAAAATTGACAAAGCTAATAAATAGAAGGAAGTTTTACCAGTTGACATCCATGCCTTCCTAATTGCATCTCTATTTTTCTTGCGGCCAAATGTTGTTAAAATTCCTATTACTGCTAAGAACTTTTTCTTAGTATGAGTGCTGTCATTTTCTGAAAAGTATTTTGATGTGAAACCTTCTTCTCTAGCTGCAGCCAACTCTATCTGAAGGGCCGATAACTTTTTGTGATGTTCTCTGTAAAAAAGAACCATCATCCTCTAACCTTGTAGACCCAATCCAAGGCACAGAGTAGTGATGGTAATGATGATAAAAATAACAACAAATTATCTACCCAAATGCACAAAGGGATGTGAAAGTTACCTGCATGTCGTAAGTTTCAGTGTATCATCCACAGATAAGGAAGATTGGCCCTGAAAATTGGTGAGTCAGTTAGAAAAAAATTGTCCTGTCCATCACAACCGAAGTTTTTAATTATTTACAAACGAATCAAGTATTATACCAGTTGCAGTAGTTTTGACTAAGAGGTTGACAGATCCACAGACAAAAAGCATAAAATATGCAAACAATATATTCTTCTCGTCTGGTGACAAAATGTGGAAGCATGTAAACTAAGGTTCTGTTTTAGAACCATACACAAGTAAAAAAAGCTCCAGCTTGGATTGGAATGGGTGCTGTAAGAATTTGAGAAGCCCATTTAAAGCATTACTATTAAATGCCCAGTTCAAACCAAGTTCTTCAAACATAGCCTTAAAAAAATACCTCAACTTGCGAGTCTAAATACAATTCACCAGTTAGTTCATTTCCACAATATGATAAAATTAGCTCCTAAGAAACAAAGAAATTATCTTCAACTTAGAACTTAAACGTAGATGATATAAAGCATTAGACCTTAATTCAACAGTTGAAAAGAAAGTGCAAAATATAAAGTACAATTAGCATGGAAATACAAAAATCAACCTGACCGGTTTTCTTATGAATCTCCCCAAGCAAATATTCCCTACTTTCTGCGTCCTGCCATAGACTATCAATACTACATTTTAATAAATAGAAAGCACTCCTTAGAATAATATCATCTACATAATGAACGAACATTTAAGAGTTTTAAAATGAAAGAGTACCCAAGATACGAGTTAACAAACGGAACTTACCGGCCAGCGACATAAACGGTAGCCATGGTTGCAAACATGGCGAGCAAAAGAGCCGAAACTCGAGACGCAAAAGAGGAGCCTGATAGCCGGTGGCTTGATCCCCGGCCCTGCATTTCTTATAAATTTACAAACAACACGCATATAGAACGTCAAACGAAACTCAAAGCCTATTTTCCTGTGAATCTGTTATTAAGTCGTTTTGATTAGTGAATTGGATCTTACAGGTTTTGAGGTCTAAAATTCTGATCCTGAGAAGAAGAGAGGAGGGTTTGATAACAGAGAGGCGTGGGTTTAAACTTGAAAGAATGTAGCTTCGAGCTTTGTAACGTTTTACGGTTTCGTCTGCCGGTATCAGGAAGGTCAACAAAGAGTAGAGCCTACAGTTTGGAAGAAAACAAATATTTATAAATAAAAATAAAAATTTAATTGTGTGAATTTTAAATTTAAATTTAAATTTACTTTTATTTAATAATTAAAATAGTACATCATTAATTTTATTTGATAAAAAATAGTACATAAAATAAAATAAAAAATTATCTCTTCAGTTTCTGCTTGTTATGTAATAATAGATTATATAAAATAAAATTTTAAACTAAATTTTAAATTTTAACCGACAGATGATATGATAAAATCTTAGAAATTATTACTTTTTTATTATGTATATAATAGATCATCATCAGGATATTTTTCTTTTTTTAAAAAAAAAAAAAAAAAACAAGAACTAACGAATGCTATCAGATTCTTTTTACAATTATTCATTTTATGTTTAAAATGTGAATCAATAAATTTTACTTTTTTAAGCACGTATATTCCGAACATAACTCATCTTTTTAATAACATCTAAAATTCCTACTTCACCCGTGCAACAAACACAGATTTTATTTATTGTTGAAAAGAGTACTCCGCCAAGCTCTAGAGTCAGAAATGAAATAAAGGTATTGCAAACAACGAAATCATAAATACACAGACGAACAGCTTAACTGCCCAATATAATACTACTACATGCTCAACAACCAAAGTCTTAAGCTTTGGATTAGAATAATCCTGGGCCAACAAAACAAATTCAATCCAGTACAACACTTCATGCAGCAACCTGGCTGAAGAGCCACTTCCGGATCTGCAATGAGAAAAATGAAACTAAACTAAGTCAGAAACATAATGGCAGAGCAAATACTTGCTGGAAACTAAAAGACAACCTTGATTGCTAGTTTCGTCAAATCATATCTGCTTATACTATAAAGAAGAAATTGAAAGATCTAATAAGTCATTTCCATCATTAACTATAATATAAAAAAACATGCTAGTTTAACCCTCACTAAGCTGAACCGAATTCCAATGCTAAACGCCACCTTGTTGGCTGCCCTAAGAGCAGTTGAAGACACATTTCTAAACATCTCTCACAAAAAGGATTAAATGACAGAATCCCATGTGGTTCAATTTCATTCCCATTCCATTACCACCAAAGTTCTAGATCACAGTTCAATGGTATATGATCTATTTGAGTGGTAAAAGAACAGAAATTGAATCAAACAAAACATGCCCTAAACAGAGCAAATATTTGACTCGAACCAACCCTACAACTTTTATCAATATATGATTTGAAGCCGTAACAAGAGACAGTCAATTGATCACATTCATCTCATATAACACAAATTGCGTTAAGCAGGGGCACGCAAATCCCCAACCAGAACAATTTATGACTTCAATTTAACATGCAATGACTCATAAAAGAAATTCTGATCCTTCTAATCCTCCCTGAAGTCAAAGCAAAACTAACAAAATACGACAAATGGAAAGAAAGGAAAAAGGACGTCTTTTTCTTGGTGGATTTGTTGGCGAAGGACCTAAGTTTACAAAAAAGACTGCACAGACCACATTTAGTTTTAGGCCTCCTAATCCGAGTATTAATAAGTAAATTTTAATTTCTGGCATCAATAATTCTTATTCTCTTGTTTCCTTATCCAAAATGGCTATCAGATAAAAGAACTGGACTTAATCTCACAAACGCAATATTGAAACTGAAATGCAAGAACAAAAATCAAGAAAAAAAAAATTGTAATATGAAGTGCAAACTACCTCTGGAAGTTTTTTACGAAAGACAACATCCAACCGAGCATCAAGTGTGTTCTCACATACAATCTTTCCATCACGGGAAGCCAAAACAACGCCTCCAGCACTACAAAATAACAGAATATCCTATCATCAATCCATTGCATAACTCTTTTTTATGATCAAAAGAGGTATATATCTCATTCTGTCACCCGGTGTCCTTTCATTTTCAGATTTTTCAGATGCACTAAGCATATCTTCTTAGTATGATGTTACTCTATCCCTGTACTTACAACATGCATTGTTTTGCATCCTTATTGTGTCTGATTTATGTCCTCTCATCCTTTTTCTTAATGCATTGTCCATTGAAAAAGAACATATTTTAGATAAACATTCGTGAGACAATTCCAATTCTTGCCATAATGAACAGCAATATAACTTAACCAAATAGAAGAGCAGTTCAAAGAGTTAGGAAAACACATTAAGAAAGGAAATTCAATAGCTTCAAACCAGATTTGGGAACAAATGCACAACAATTACTCTATAATATCTAAGGAACCCTAGAAGCAGTATTTGGTGCAAGTAAAACAGGAAACTTAACCAAATAGAAATGCATGGTCTTATTGTATAGGCTATGCATAACACAAGCTCAGCCAGCGGCGGTTGTAATATAGCAAATACCCCCATATAAGATTACTTATAAGATGGTAAACATTCCTTTCAACCACTTAGAATTCATAATTATAATGAAATGAGTACCAGAAAGGTCCATGAGAATTATGGTGGAAGATGTGGTGATGACGACCAGGGGGAAGATGAACATGGTGGTCAACTATTATCTCTGGTTGATGAACATTTACTTTCTCAGCATATTCATCCTTAGCTTCATCCAAGACAGATTCTACCAAGTGCACGTCTTCTTTACGGCAACGCAACAAGACAGAAGGTTCTTTCAGTCTAAGCAAGCACTGCAAGACATGCGAGAAAATTCTTGCAGTCATATAAGTCCTTGACTTTCTCAAAGCATACGTAGAAGGAAAGAAAAACATTAGTTTCTGTATAAAAGAGAGAAAAGCATTGATTCCAAAAACATAATCAGTTACAGATTACCACTACCAAGATTGCAAAGAATTCAAGCCATCAACCCAAATGACAGCAAAATGGATTCATAATCTCAAATACAGTTGGTAAATCCTTGACAAATTACTTGATGTATTTGAGAAGTTATATGCATAGACTTAAAAGAACCCTTTTTTTCATAGCAGAACAGAGTACAATCGTTTCCCTGAAAGTATCTGTAGGTAATACATAATTCATTGGACCATGCCGAGGAACTGATCATCCATAAACAGAAACAGTTCACATTTCCAAAATGATCAGAACCTGACAACCATGACCAAGAGGTTAATAAGCAAATGTTTTCACAGACCTGGACAATAAGATCTTTCAGAAGCTTTGAATACACATGGTGATCATGGCTCACATGCAGAAGCTCCTTCGATGCCTCTTCTTTCATGTTACCAACTATATCATCTTGAGCTTGAAGAACCTTGATCCTAGAGGCATTCAGCTGCATGGAATACTCGCTGCAAGAAATACATACAACAAACAACAAGAACAATGAGAAAATATATTCCTTGGTTCTAAACAACAAATGATATTTCTAGTTTTCATTTTTTCTGCACTGTATATATATATGTGCGTACATATACTTATGCGTATAGTTTATATGCATTTAGTTATTACATATATATTATATGCATCTCTACAAGAGTATGTGTAGATATTCATACATTAGTATGTATCTATGTATATTTATCAACATATGCATGTTTACATATTTATGTCCATATAGTTTTATGAGTATAAATTAAAAAATAATTTTCTAGAAAATATTAAAAGTCACTTTTTATTGTTTTCAAAACCCATACTGTATTTTTATTTCCATTTTCTAAATATTCTATTCATTTTTAACTATCAAGTACATGAAAACTAGGAAAGGGAGCTTAAGAAACTGTTTTCAGGCACCAAGAGGAACCTCACTCTTGCATCAACTTATATAATTTCCAATTCACTAATAAGATAAAGAAATTGGAACTTTTCCAATTTCCAGTTTCATCAGCCAAGTTTCGTGCATTTTGTAAAAATCTAATCATAATTCCAATGGAATTATATGAATTTGAAAGTCGCTGAAACCAATATCTTACACTAAGGCAAGTCAATCCTCTAAATCTCAAATCTATTATCAATTCAAGTTAGGTTTTAAACTATAAACCAGTAGACATTCATCGAAATCCAAATCCAGTAAAAATGCATTGAAATACAAGTCCAGTAACATATAACATGATGTCAATTTAAAGACAAACAAATTTCAAAATTAGTTTCACAGATCATGCAACCGCCCAAAGAAATACACAAATAAACAGGTTAATTGAATAAACCATGAACTAAAAATATTTTAATGAGAAAGCAAAAGAAAAAGCAACGGAGTGAAATTGAAAATTAATAGTAAATAAACTTACATCTTCTTTCGAACTTCAACTTGCTTCTCCTTCTTCTCATACTCTTGCCTGATCTTTTTCTTCTCTGCCTCAACCAGCTGTAACTTTTCGATATTGAATTCCTGCGCAGCCGTCACAGATATACTTATAAGTTATATACAGAGACCAATGAGATTGAAAGATACTGAAATTGAGTAGTTGTGCGGTAAGATACACGAATAAATTAGGGGAAACAGAAAGCAAATCGAGAAAATCGATGAGAGGATATAGTACCTCTTCGGCGGATACAGCGATCTCGTTGGCCTTCTCTTCGGCTTCTTGGCGGATAAATCTCACCATCTGCTGGATCTGCTTGGAGACATCTGCGTCATTCATCTTGGCTATCGAATCAGACGGAGATCGAGAGAGTTTGGAGCAGGGAGAGACTATTCGCTTCTTCTTCGGTCGTCAATCAAGGTTGTCATCTGTACCTGCGTGTACAGCAGCAGTTTTATACTCAATGTGCTGTGTTGTATTCGTGTTTGTTTGTTTTTTTTTTTTTTTTTTTAAATAATTTACACTCGAGTAAAACAGTTAAAAAATTAAAAAGCGAAAATTATAAGGGTATCATCAAAATGCATCATTATATTCTACATCTATATTAAATCATATCATACATTTACAATTATAACAATTTGCAAATTAAATTATGATCTTGATCAAATAACTCATTGTGTTGTGATAGTCGTTAATTTTAATTTCTTTTAACTACGTAATACTCCATATAATTAAGAAAATTAACACATGTCAAATTTATTTTTATCAAAAAAATTGTAAAATATTTAAAAAATCAAAATCAAAACTTAAAGTTAAAAAAAAAAATCAAATTATTTATATGTTACTTTTTACACAAAACTGTGCTTAAACCATGTCATTTCCTAATTGTGCAGTACATTTTATAAGTGTACCGTATAATTTTGATATAAAATAAAAATATAATAATATTATTTGACATTACCCTCTTTTTTTAAGTGTAAAATATTAAGGATTAAAATACTCAAAAATTAAGTTTATAGCATAAGCATTTCAGGCTCTAAAAAGTCTGAGCGCAAGTCCTATTTTACATACAAAGGGCTTTCTTGCATTTGATTATATGAAAAACAGACTCTCTTTGTAAAATTCTAAATTCTTTGATTACTTTTTCTATTTTCCAGTTGAACGACACTTTACTATCTTGGTTGATGAACTTGGCGACAAGCTAAGAGTCACTTTAGATTTGAATGCAAGGGATGACACTGGCTCTAGCGATTTTCAAGCACAACAAAATGAATTCGCTTTTAACAATTAGGAGATTTGAGATAAGTACTCAAATTTGTTGAACACAAGCTACAAAGATTCATTATCCTTATAGTAACATCACATGAGAGTATATGATAGAGATCAAGAAAAAAAAAGCATAATAAAACACGTGTTCAAGGTGATGAGCATAGAGTCAACATAAAGCATAGTGTTGAACAAAATGTTTAATATGAATACAAGTATGGTATGAATACAACCTAAGATGTATATGGGCTATATTGATCACATGGGCCAAACATCATTATGTCAAGTGCATCACTTACTAGATCAATGGACAAGAGACTCAAGCAATCCTTTCAAGATTATATTCATGAATTGATTAATAAAAAAGGAAAGCTTTAGAGAGCCATAAAAGAAGTGGACCATTTCACTGAGTCACATGGAAAAGTAGCATGTTAATCTTCTACAAGTCATTGGGCCGAATTCTAAGCTCAAATTCATGTAAACTAAAACTAATTAATTAATTAATGATCCAGGAATGACTTGAAATGATCGTAATACTCATAAAACCTCACACTAATTATGTTTAGAAGATTTCAATCACCTAATTTTCCTCTCTACTTAAATCTATACTCACCAATAGAGAATGTAATAATCAAAATAATTGAGAAATTATTAAAAAAAAAAAAGAAAAGACGTCACAACTTACTCGATAAGTCAATCCTAATTCCCTAACTCAACAAAACTTCTGAAAGCTTCCTAACCTGAAGATTTGAAAAACACTCACAAAATTAACAAAACTAATTTTAAGAAGCAAACAAAAACTTGAACTTCATTAATTTTTTGAATTCTTGAATTGTTAAATTGTGATTATAACCTAAGGAGTAAGGTCCTTTTATAAATCTTTATTTTCTAATCTGACTCGTAGTAAGATCACATATTTCTATCTGAAGTCTTAAATACTAATGCGTGCTTGTGCACATGCACGCGAACACAACTCTCTCGCATGCCTTATGTACTCCTTTACATGTGACACATCCCCCATGTGCGAGTCTTCTTTTCTCATGCATGTGCATGCCCACATATGTGTGCAAAGTTGCTGGTTTGTGCAGCCTGTCTTGGCATAATATCTCTTAGGTCGTGAGGCCTTGGGACCTTCTTGGGTTGGGCCAAAAGTAGGTTTTTCTTCTTGCCTTGTGATTTTCCAAGTCAGTGGGTCTCTTCATGGGCTTCAGGCCTTATTTGAATTATCTCAGTCCATTCTACTTGGGGGTGGGACCTGCAGGAATCCTTGTGGGAAAAGGATTTTTCCTTTTCCTGTACGTGCACTGCGCCTACATGCTATCCACTATTTGGCTGCAAACTCGTGGGTAATTATCTCGTTAGAATCCTTATCACCGTGAAATTCCTCCTTGATGTGAAATTACATCTTTGAAACTAAGTTTAAACCTCCTGGAATCACATCAATTAAATAGTTATGTGTCATGCATATGTTTTACTAAGTCACATGGAGAAATAGCCTTTTAATCTTCTACAAGTCATTGGGTCAAATTCGAAGCTCAAATTCATGAAAAATAAAGCCCAATTAATTAATTAAGTAGTCTTATGCCATGCATGTGCTTCATTAACGTGTTGGTCATATTTTTATTGGTTAAAAATTTAGTTAGATTTATTGATTTTTTTTATGTGTAATGTGGAATCTTATAATACATAAATTATTTCTAAGCAAGATTAATTAGGCTAGATGAGACTTAATAGTCATGTAGAATTCACTAATCCACACGAATTAATAATTCCTTTTCTTATAAGGATTGGGTTTTAGCTTTAGAAGTATATTAGATTTAAAGAATAAAATTATTTCCCACTCTAAGATTTGAGGTTAGTGTGACACTCCCTATATAAAACTCTCTTATGTTTATTTTCTCTATTATGCTATTGATAAATAATTTTGGCGTAAGACTATCTTTGCAATTTGTGAGTTTCTTTAATTTTCTTGTTACAGTAATAATTGGTTTCAATTTACTGAATTTTTTTTTTTTGTTGTGTTTATTCATTTTCTCTTCATTCCAATCACTTTAATTGCAATTAAAACTAGGGAGGGTTTGTTTAGATTTAAGTTTTAATGCTAATTGTGTATGTGTGGATTTAGATTGCATATTAATCTAGGGTTCCACATCAAATTGGTATAAGAGCTTAAGCACTTAATAAACCTTAATGTATCTTATTTATTTTGTGTTCTTTTCTTTTATTCTCACGATGAACCTGAATCGATTCATCTTAAACAAATTCAGTTTTTTTCTTGTTCTTAGTTGCTTTGTTTATTTTTTTCTTAAGTTTCTATCTTAGTTTGTTCCATGGAGAAAAAAAAATTAGTAGTTAAAATCTTGTCCAAACCATAATGCTCATCAATTGCTAATTTGGTTTCTTTTTTAATGTAATTCATTTAATCTTGTATGATACTAAATAATTGCAAATTTTTGTTTATTGTTTCACATTGATCAATTTAATTCATTCTATTGTTGCTTCAAGTTGACCAAAATCAATATCCCTTCATCAAATTAAGGTATATTTTCTCGTAACAAATTCTGTCCAAGTTAATATTCATTAAGTTGATCAATTCAAATTATATTCTTATCAATTTATAATATGTCCAAGTTAGCTCATTATTATTCTTCTTTAATTTATTCAGTTCTCAACTTGTTCAAATAGTTTTATCATAGTTATTCACGTCATTTAAAATTTGTCTATATAACTTTATTTTTGTCTCTTGTTATTTAATCCGTAGTTACTAATCAAATTCTATCCACATTAAAATTAGCAAGAATCATCACTTTACTTCACATACATCACATTATATAACATAAAAGAAAATCACTATATTAAATTGTATCTTATTAGATTTTAGTATTTAGGTTTGTATATTCAGTTTCTCATTAGGAGTTAAATCGAATTCACTACGTTATATTCATATCGTTTTCATTGCATTCTTAATTTATTTCTTTGTTATACTGTTTGTTCCTTTACATTTAGGTGATCACATTCTAGCTTCTTAACATTAATAATAAATAAAGATACTCTTTAATTTATATGTTTAAATTTTGCTTTTGTTATCGTTTTGCCTCTTATCTTATATATTTATAATTTTATTCATCAAAATTCTTTGTTGTGTCAATAAAAAAAAACTTATTTTTTTTATTCATCAAGATTGAGTGGTAAAAGACTTGAGAGTGTGATCTTAAAAGAGGGTAAAAGCTAATTTTGAGTAAAACGCGTGAGTGAGTGTTGAGCGTGATTGTTTTGTAAACTAATTTTTCTTATAGATTTTCCCAATATCATTATCTAGTGAGCATCATGCCCCACTCGATATAAAGTAATTGCAACCGATGTTAACTATTTCCTAACAAATGAAAAGTTACAACTAAATGATGATACACCAAAGACATATAAAAGATTATTTGAAGCTTAGTTGGTTCATTAATTTACTTAACATACACTAGACCAACTATAGTTTCTGCACTCAATCTAATCTAAAGATTTATACAAGAGCTTAGTAAGATCCACTATGCAACAACAAAACAAATGCTAAGATATATACAATGCATGAAGAAATTTGGAATTCATTATGCTAAGGAAAAAAGAAAACAAGCTTGTTCCCTAGATTGATAGTGATTGGACAGGCTCGATTCATGATTAAAGAGTATATTTAGATATTTATTTTGTATGGGCTCCAAACTAGTTTGGTGATCATCAAAGAAAAAGAAAATAATAGTTATTTCATTAGTAGAAGCAGAATATATAACAATAACTAATGCAGCATGCATCATGTAGCATAATATATGATTAAGAAGTATTTTATTAGACTTGCAACAGTAAGAAAATGATCTAATAATTATTTATTGTGAGAATATGTTTACCATCATCATGATAAAAAATTTTATTTTTCATAATAGAACGAAACATATTAAGTTATAACATTACTTTATACAAATCTCGTCCAACTCAGTTAGAGTTTGTAAGTATCAAAGAGGATTTAGTAGAACTTTTACTAAAATAATTTCAATAGAAAATTTTAAAGAAATTAAAAAGTAGGTACAGATTACAAATTAAGAGAGGGTGTTGAACAAATAATTTATGTTCTTAAGTCATTTAAAGTCAGTGATGAAGAATTGGGAATATTAGTTCAGATGAAAATTCTGAAT